TTAAAGTTATCTTTCCCTTCAAGACATTGTGTTATTGTTGTCTTTGCATTCTTTTGTTTTAATATACTCATTGAGCATGCAAGCAGGCTATGCTGCTTGCTACATTCTCAGTGTTTCATCTCCTATGCTCTGGTTCGTGTGATGGAGGATGGAGGTGTGCATACAATTCTATATGCTGTTCATGAAGAGCAGCTGAATTAAGGTAGACTGAGTTGGTGTTGGTTGCAATCTGTCATCAACTAGGTGGAACAGGAGCTGGTCTTTACTCTCGCCCAGTGGGTTAAACTGCAGGATGTGTGTGCATGGAGTCACTGTGTACATGTGTGTTTGGGCTGTGTGTTTGCTGTTTGTTGCCAGATGAGACAAACAAACAAACAAACCAGAAAAGATAAAGAGGGAGAGAAAATATCCTCCAAACCCAAAACAAGAGTGGACAGTAAAAGGGGGAAAGTAAAGAAAGAGAAAAAGGGGAGGAATGATGTGTACTGCATTGCAACAGATGAGGGAGAGAACTGTTTAAAAGGGATATATGATTAGGTATTATTGTCATGACAGAAGTTCAAAATGAAGGCTGCACAGTGCAGTGGACTTGGGGGAGGGATTGCATTGCAATGAAAGAGTTTTTCTTTTACTCATCAAGGAGAAAAGTGAGTTGGGGGGAGGAGGTGGGCAGGAAGAAGAGTGCAACAATGAATGACTGGAAACCCTAAATCTCTGTAAACTTTCATTAAAATTAATTTTAAAAAGAGGGGGAAAGTAGAAGAATCAAAAGTGAGAGGAATTAAAAAAATAGGATGGGGGGAATACAGGCTAGGAAAAGGAAGTAGCGTCAAAGAGAAGAGGGAAAAGTGGAAGAAATGAAAAACAAACCAAAACAAAAACCTGGAAAGGGATGGAAAAGAAAAAAAAACTAGAGACAGAAAAAAGGAAGGACAGAGGGGGCTGGGCAGGGCACCTGGGCACCTGGCACTTTCCTAACAGACTGAGGGACAGTTTTTGTCTTGTCTGGGACAATTTCTGCCAATTTAGTAGAAGGTTGTGGTTGTGGAGCCATGTGAGGGCAGTTTCTGTTCATCAGAGATGTGAGTGAGTGACCCAGGGAAGACAGGATGTGTTGCTGGGGCCACTGACAACACCTTTGCTGGTCTGGGTGGTGTCAAGCAGCAGGACACTGAGCCTGGGAGGGGATTTTTGCTGGCCTCAAGAGTCATCTGCCTGGCCAAGGATGGTATCTCTGCCAGCCTGAAGGATGCGTACAGGCACATCATCCAGTCAGAGGTAACAGACTCTGGTAGTCTAAGGAAATGCATGTGGGGGTGGCAGGCAAGCAGAGGTAAACAGCAAGTGTCTGAATGTAGAGCTGTGTGTGTTCTTATCTAAGTTTAGGTATTATTCTTCCCCATAGTATTATGACAGATGTAAGGATGAAACAATAGTACTGGGCTACTTACATTATAGTGGAAATGTTAGAATACATTTGGAATCATTGGGAGGGAGAATGTAAATAATAAAGCTTTAAAATATATATAAAGTATTACATTTCATGTTTTCCAAACCTCTCTCCATTAATGTGCCTTTCTTCTGAAAAATTAATGCTATCCCATGAGACTATGAAGTTATGCCCTTCTTTCTCTGTTCTTGTGGTTAGATGCCACTGAGTTAATAAAAACCACAGCTACTCTATGAAGAGCAGATCTGTACCCTGTCCTGTGCCATACTCATCATCTCTAATTAATCCGATTGTTACAGCCACTGACAGAGTCAAACCATTTCTTTGAAGGTCTTTCTCGCTTTTGCTGATAAAAAAACCCCCTCATACATCAAAATGCAGGAGCTCTGGCACATTGTGTTGCACTTCACTGTTCACAAAAAAGGTCAGCAGTTGGAATCCATTAGATCCTCCAAAAGAGAACAATGGGCAGTCTCCTTCTGTAACTATGGCTTTGGAAGGAGGCAGAACTGACTGGACAGCAGTGGGTGCGTTTAGGTTTAGGAACAAGGGAGGAAAGGGGGCTGGGAATAAACTACTATCAGTTCCCTCCTTTCTTCACTCTCCCATAACTTTTTAACTATGAATCCATTAAGTTGAGAGTATAGGAAAGATTAGAGAATGCACGATGAAATGGCCAAGTTTACGTAGGAATTGCTGCTCTGGGAGAACCTCGGGAACAGTTCAAAATGTCATCTGTAGTTTCACGTATGTTACTCCACGTATAAAACTCAGTGACTCAGTGGTTTATGCAACAGGTGGAAACTCAGGATTTGTGAGTTTTGATCATGTGCCTGATATTTAATTTCTATAAGCACGCTAATTGTGTTCATTTCCTGCATTTTATTTAGTTTCTACTCAATTAATGCAAAAATTATACCAAATTATTTCCCAGCACTGAACAGACAAACCAAAAAGGGTGGAAAGCGAATAAGGAAGACAGAAGAATTGAAGCCTTTGAATTGTCCCGTAAAAGAATGTTGGATACACCATGGACTGTGAAAAGAACAATCAAATCTGTCTTGGGAAAAGTGTAACCAGAATGTTCCTTAGAAGTGAGGATGTCTCACATACACTGGAATGCTGGGTCACTTGGTAAAGCGGAGAGGGTCAGCAAAAGAGAAACGGCCTCACCAAATGGACTACCACAGTGACTGTAGCAACAGGCAGAAGAAGCACCAGGCATTATTTCCTCCCATTGTATACAGGGTCACAGAGTAGGAGCCAACTCAACAGTACTTAACAACAACAAAAATATCTGCTGACTGTAACAAAAGCTAACTATAATTAAAAAGAGTAAGACTCAGTAGGCACCAAAAACAGTACTACTAATCTCCAAGAAAACAAAAACCACACAAGTACTTTGTATATGCTTTCCCTAACCTACTGCAGATGTCACAGGTAGCTGCTGAATAAAAAAGAATTGTCAAGTACTGTAGAAAAAAAAAAAAAAGAGGAAAGCTGGCCAATAAGACAGAAAAATAAACACTGTGAAGCAAGAGCATTAGCCAAAATTGCACTCAGTATGTTTGACTACTAACACTTCCCAGGGGACCATTACTAGACTGCTATATAACTTGATGAGCAAAACAGAGTTCTTTATCAATCACCATTTATTGTACATTCTTTTGACATCAAAAGTGGAAGCACTCCTAACCATCTATCCATTGGTTTCCCTCAAGTCTCATTTCTCTCCGAGGGACAAAAAGAGAATCTACACTGAATTATACCAGGAGATAATGAAGCCAGCTTTATCCTTTTCCTACATCCAGTGACCCTTGCTTCAAGTAAAGTTTACCTTGGAAATTAAAGTACTCCTCCATAAAACTTTAAAACAGAATGAAAGTCTATCTTCTGCATTCACGTTCACTGCATGCATGTGAATGCTTAGAAACACATTTTGAAGAGCCCTTCTAGAAGTGGATCTTGTAGAAGAGAGTGGAGTAGGGGAATCTTCATTTTATCTATTAAAGAGATGTTTCTTATTTTGAAAGAGACACTGGATATTGTTTTCTCATACCTATCTTCAAAACAAAATTCTAAGATGCTTCTTAACAATCATCTGGAGTAAGTGGTTTACCACTGACTGATAGTTTGTATTTTAATCAAATTCTTTCATCAATCTGAGTTGTAAAGAATGTTGTTAAAATATGTGGTCATAATATGTCTACATAATATGTGAGGTCAAATCCCTCACATTATCACAAGTTCACATTTCTCAGTGAGAAGCAGTAGGTATGGGAGTGAAAGCAGACTTGCATTTTAGTTCTAATTCAGCTTGGAAATTTCAGCGGGAATTCTGGAAAAGATTTTATTTGTAAAATGGTGCATTAGATCAGAATGGTTTCTGATTACTAGAAAATTTATTAGATCCATTCTACGGGGGGGAAACATTCAATTTTGAAGTGCTGCAAAACGCAAAACAAAACAGTTTCCTTCAATTCGGAAATATAAAGCCATGCTCTATGTGGGTATGCACTAGATCATTAACAATCTCAGGCCCTCATTCCACAGAGTTCAGATTATTGATTCGCAAAGCGCAAAAGTCCTAAGAAACATTTTACTTCTCTTAACCATAGCAATCCCCCAAAGTTCTAAAACGCCAAGATCAAACTGTAATAATCATCAAGCCATTAATGGCATGAGACCATAGCTACTTGAACGCTGAGACACTACTACAATTCCCAGTATGCCTCAGTCCCCACCCTCACCCTCCATTTACCCCCGCACCCACTCCTGGGACTCCGCAGGCGGGACTTGAAGTCCCAGGCCACGGCTGGCAACAGCGCTAGAGCAGTCTTGAAATCTGCTTTCTCTCCGAAAGTTGGCGACACACATCGCAAGGTCCAACGAAACTATTCCGATCAACTAACAGCTCGCCTGGTTGCGAGTCGAATTCCTTCCCGCTAGGAACCCAGCCCTGGTCCCAGTACTCCTCACACCTACAATCTGCGGGGGCGGGGTTACGCCCCGGAAGTAGAGTCGGAACCAGTGACGCAAACGCGTCTTCTAGCCACTCCGAGCAGGACTGAGGCGAGCAGCCGGCCTCGGGGGCGTGGCCTTGGAGGCGGGGCGGGTTGAACGCCGCGGCGTAGTAGTTGGGGCGGAGCCACGGCACGGGGCCGCGCGTCTGGTTGGCGGCGGGGGCGCGCCCTTGGGGAGAGGCGGCGGCGGCTGCTAGTGGGGTGGGGGGTTAGAGGAGGAACCCGGGACGGGGGGGAGGGCAGGGCCAGTGGAGAGCCGTGTTCCTGAGGCGGTGGCGGTGTCTCCAACGGAGGAGGAGGGCGGGGAAGGAGGATGGAGCAAGCTGGGGGTTGGGGCTGGCGCTAGCCGCTGCGGCTCGCCTTATACAGTGGGAGAGCGGCGGCTGCTCCTGGAAGTTGTGTAGGGAGCCGGGCCAGCGCCGCCGCTGCCGCCGCGTTGGGCGGTGGGGAGGAGGAGAAAGAGGAGGGAAGGACCGGGGTTGGGGGGGGTCGGCCGGGAGGGGACGGGCAGGGGGAGCGAGCTGGGGAAGACGGAGCGGGCTCTGCGCCGGGCGGGCGGGCGGCGGCGGGGGGGCCAGCGACCGCAGCCGGGGGGACGCGGGAGGATGGAGCAAGTGGAGATCCTGAAGAAATTCATCCAGAGGGTCCAGGCCATGAAGAGTCCGGACCACAATGGGGAGGACAACTTCGCCCGGGACTTCATGGTGAGTGCCTTCCCCTGGCTGTCGCCTGCGGCCGCCGGCGACACGGGAGCGCCCCGCCGCCGAGCCCGGCCGGCCTGGGCAGCCGGCGCTTTGTGTGTGCGGCTGGGCGAGAGGGGCGGAGGGGGCGCGCCCGGACCCCCAGGGCCGGCCTGGGGGGCTCTGCGGCCGGCGGGAGGTGAGACCGTCTCCGCCCCTCGGCCCCCTTTCCCTCCTCCCGCGTTCGCGGCCCCTTCCGCAGGCTCCCGGGGCGCGAAGGGAGCGGTCGCCGGGCCGAACCCGCAGCCGGTACCGCCACCCGCGACCCCCTATTGTTTCTCGGCCTGGAGCTGGGGCTCGGGAGGTGCTGGTCGGGGGACAGGAGGCTCCTCGCCTTTTCCACACCTATCCGTCTTCCCCGGGCTACTGGACGCGGGCTGTCTGGCCGTGATTAGGGTGGGGAGTGGGTTGACGGCGGACGCGGGGTGTTGAGCGTGGCATTCATGCGTGGGGATCCCTTTGCCCAAGCCCGTCGCCGAAGCGGGCAAGGTGAGATTGTCGTCTCTGCGTTCGCGTTTATTCTCTCCAGCGTTTAGCGAAGGGGTCCTCGCAGAGAAGCTCGTGGCTTTTCCTTAATTCCATCTACCTTGGCGCCGTCTCTTCCCTCCTGAGACCTGGGCTTGAGGTGGTGGTCCTGGGGTCACTGTGACTTTGGATGGAGGGGGAAACGGGGTGTGTGTGTGTGTGTGTGTGTGTGTGTGTGTCGTCCTGCAGGAAGCCTCCTTGGGACTCCCTAGGGGCTACTGCCGAAGGCGGAGGGGATGTGACTATCATTTCCTATCCGGGGTGGGGGTGGGGAGCTTGGGAACAATAGTCCTGGTGGGGCGGAGGCGACGGGCCGGGCCGGAGCCCTGAACTGGGAGATAACCTTCCCGGTCACCCCCCTTTTCCGCCCACTCCTTCTGCAGGCGGGCCTGGGAGGAGGTGAAGGTTTAAAGTCTTGTTGGTGAAATTGCTCTGGCTCCATCACTGTGAAAGGGGGTCAGATCCGCAGGCGTGGGACCAGAACTCCACTTCCTACAATCGGCCCCCCCCTCCCAATTTTTCAGCTGGACAATGTTCCCTCCAGGGTTGTTTCCCGGTTTAGGAGGCGGTGGTTGCGGCGGCTGCTCCTACGGATATTGCGCAAGACTGGGGCGTTGGAAACCCTGGAGGTCTAGGGAATGGAAAAGGAAGTGGGACTTTGGGAAGTGGTTGCTCTTTGGCCTTGGTGGGGGCTGGTAATGGGAAATAAGTTAGGAAGAATTTTAGTCCGAGGCAAGGTGCTTTTCCAAGAATAACCAACCACTACATTCTGAAATTGGGTATAGAAAGGACGTAGCGCTAATGTTTATAAAAATTTAATGGGCAGCAAATATTGGCTAGTTTTTGTTCCAGAGTTATACTGGAGTAAATGTTTTCAACGTGCAGGTGAAATGACTGTTGGTTCCAGAGAGATTTTCACATTTAAAGAGAGTCAAGTTTTAGCACTAAAATTATTAGCAGCCTATAAAGTAGATTGTTGACCTTACAACAGAATTAAGTTTTCAGATCAATCTTAGAAGATAGAACATGTAGATTGTCTTATTTTAAATGTTTTCTCTTGCTATTTAGACTGTATCCATTTGAGTAATTTACCTTTTTATTTGAGAAAAATAAAGGGGAAATTTTTCCTTTATATTGTAGAGAATTTTGATCGTGTTAGTGTATCTTCAATGGACCCATTTACAATAATTGGATGTGGATCTTTTTTAGGACTGCCTAACAAAAAGAAAATGAAATGTTTAGTTTGAATGCTTAAATACTTAAAAAGACTTATTTTAGGCATTTGAAGTTTTATTTTACTTATGGAAGAAGAGGCCGGGTGGTTTCTGGCAGTAAATTTGCATGCTAGTCATCTAGTTATCCCTAGGCATATCCTGTCAGGAAAGACCATTGTTTGGGGATGCAGGCCATCAGGACAGGTGCCCAGTCTGTGAACTCCTGTACAGGGGAAATAGCTTTAGGGATCATGCCATGGGGATGAGTCAAGGATTCCTGTTGGGAGATTTCATTTCTCAAGGACTAAATTAGTTCCCTATTTCATCCATAATATCTAGAGATAGCGGTTTGATTTCTTCCACATTCAAGGTTTGATGACATAAGGTTATTACATAGTGTTTGCCTTTTTTTTTAAAAAATCATACAATAATCTAGTTGGTAGCGAAAGGCTGTAGAAGAGTCTCCCAGATTGTGTTTGTTTTGAAGAGAAAGTAGGAATCGGTTGTTAGAATTTAGGTTTAACTGTTATGCACTCATTTTTAAATTCTGATGCAGATTCAAAATTAATTTTAAAGTTTTAACATTTTAGGACAGAAAGAGGCCTTGGAGATATTCTAATTATTTATAACCCAATTATACTATAAACTAATAATGCTCATTATTCCAAATTTGGAAATTATAATAATAATAATGTCTTATACTGAGGAAAAGGGAATGGAGAATCCAAAAGGAATCCTACAGTGTTCTTGCCTTACTTTTCCCCAAAATCCCTATAGTTTGATCGCCTGAAGATCCTGTTAGTTTTTAATGTTCTATGTAAATGTATTACTATATATACATGTATGATAGGTGTTTTTCATTATTATAATGAAAAAGAATTTACATGAGTATATAGAATTTTATGTGGTAGTTTTTATAGCTTAACCAGTGGTTGATTGTTTAGACCTCTCCATTTTTAGAAATTATATACCATAATTCTGTGATGCATAAAACTTCTGAATTTTTTATTAATGTATAAGCTGCCGCTCCAGTAGTGGAAGTATTAGATGAAACAATGCCATCATTTTCTACATTTAATACAGGCTACAAGTAACTTTGAAGAGATTATACTAGTTTATACATTTGTTGGTCATGTTAAGAGTAGTCATATTTTAATTTTCTTGATTTTCAAGTATTTGAGGGCAGTCAGGTGGCGTAGTCTATAGGGAGTTGCACTGATAATCCAAAAGCCACACATCTCTGGCAGTTTGGATCCAGTTCAAATCTACCAGTGGCCCTACAGAAGAAAGATGACCAGTCTTCTTTTGTAATGTACAGTCTTGCAAACTGGGGAGAGGGTCACTTGATTGACTGAAGTGAGTTTGATAGATGAAGAAAATTATTTTAATTTTAACTTCTTGACTACCAGTGAAGAAGTACACTTTTCCACCTGTCATTAACTATTCAGCTGTCTTTTTTCTAGGCCTTGCTATGATGTACCCTCATTTTATTAAATGAAAACTAAGGCATTGAAAATTCTGTTAAACTGTGGTGACAAGATTGTTAGTTACGTTTTGAAGGTAAAATAGCTAGTTTGTGGCAGATCCAGAACTTGATCTCAACTATCTCCACTTACAGTTGTCTTTGCAAGGTGATATGATGAGTAAGTAAATGTCAAGGTAGCACATTCATTTCTGATAAAGTTAAGTTAAAGTTCTGGTAAAGCTCCCATCTCTGTCATCCGATTAATTTACTTAAAGAAAATTAGTTTTCTCATTTCTGAGTTTTGCCATTTTTAAAATAAATACTACCTGGTTTACAGGATTGAAGTACAGGATTATTATTTCAGATTCTTGTGGTAAGGCCTGTATGTTCTTTTATATAAATGATTTGGACATGTGGCCAGAAGGGACCAGTCCTTGGAAAAGGACATCATGCTTGGAAAGCTGGAGGGACAGTGCAGGAAAGGAAGACCCTGCATGAGGTGGATTGACTCTGTAATGACTGGCTTAATGGGATTAGGGGTGTCAGAGATAATGAGATTGGCTTAGGATAGGGCAGGGTTCAGAGCTATTGTATGTAGGGTTGCAGTGGGTAGCAGATGATTCCAGACACATAACAACAAACAGCATGATGGAAAGTGGTATGTGGGTTTTTAATGCTTCCATGTTTCTTTTCAAAACCTTTATCATGATTTCTTGAAACAAAAAGTAGATTTATTCTGATCAGGCTAAAGGCTGTCTGGAGTGCATTACCCATTATTGAGTCAATTCAAACTCATCACTGACCCTCCAACTCATTTCTGCCCATCTTTCTGCCTCAGATTGCCTGGTGGATTTGAACTGCTGACTTTTCAGTTAACAGGCTGATATGTTATGCATGTCTCCACCAGGAGTTCCTAATGTGAATTACATATTTGAATATAAAAAGTTTAAGATGATATTTAAGCTATAAGTAAATGACTTTCACCTATAATAACCAGTTCTTTTTGCATTCATGATACTAAGAAAAATTTAATGAATTGATAGGAGATTTATGGACATGTTTCTAAGGCTGAATTGAGGTATAATAGCAAGACATTTTATATTAAAAAACAATTTAAATTAATCTGAACATAGTTTATCAAAGAACTATCAGAAGTTGAACATTTAGGAAATTTATTATAAAAGTGCTATCTTTGGGGGGAAAAGTACTATCTTTATTCTATAAATAATAATCCAGACAAATGAAAAGTAGCCAGTCAGCTTCATTATTATTATTATATTGCTTTTCATTTATTACAGTAGCATTATCAAATTTAGAAGCTTTTTTTCTGTAGAAAGGGAATTAACATTCATATCCTTACTGTATGATAAGCTCTATGCTCTATATTGTATAGCTGTTGCATCTAACTTCTCTGTTTTATGAGGCAATTTTAACCTGTGTTTTGCAGCTGAAGAAACATACTCTGAGAAGTTAAGGATCTTGTCTGACATCAATGACTTTTTTCTTTTTACTGTTATCCTACATCCTCAGGATATATTTAAGTTTTGATTGTTGGTGTTCTTTTTAAGATGAATCAAACTAGGTTATTGGTGAAAGTATTTAACAATGTAAAAGAATGGTGGTTTCAAAGTAAAGCATGTTCAGGGAGCATTGTCTGATTTACTGTTACTCATGCAAATAGTACTTTATCTTTTGAGTCTCAGATTCTTTGCACTCTCAAAATTATTGCAGAATTCAAAGAGCTTTTATTTTTTAAAGTG